CACAAAACTAATCCCACACAACTACACTCCTCCCCTGACCCACACAGCTGCTTCAACTGCTGGCCAGCAGCTGCAGAGGACATGCAAATTCAGCACAACTGGGCCAGGTAGGGCTTGCTCCCTTTCCACTATGATCACTGGGATTAGATCAGGCCCACAAGCAAACGTAGCTCCAGAAGGGGAGTCCCACTAGCCCTCGCCTCTCCCGCCTCTGAGGGGTGGGCAGAACCTATTCAACTTCCGCCTGATGCTTGTTCTGCAAACACAGAACGTCAGGACATATCCCCTGAGGACAGAGAGCGAGTGAGATAGAGAAAGGGGTGTTGCTGTGAGCACCCGAAATCACCCAAGCAGGTGAGATCACAACACCCCAGCGGTGACCGTCCCGTGACCTGAGAGCTGCCACCTACACTGAAGACTTTGGACTTTGCTTCCTTCCTTTTTCTTTCGCTGCCCAAACCTGCTTGGCTGACTTCTCACTGGCGGCTCCGCAGGGCAGAGGCAGTGGAGCTCTTCAAAATCACCCAGACCACGTACCTGCAACCCAGCAATGCAGCGAGCCACAGCGCAGGGGGATCGCAGGCAGCTTTAGAGAGTGAGCAGTGTGCCGGGGACAGGCACTGGGAGCCAGGGCGCAGGACGAAGCCCCTGACACAAGGCACCCTCCGTCCCCACCCACCTGCTCGTTCTTGTGCTGTGTCATGTGCGATTTGAGCTGGAAATAGGTGTTGAATTTGTTGGGGCAGAACTGGCACTGGTAAGAGCTATCGATCAAGACAACCTGCTTGGCTTCCAGTTTGCCTGCCTCACTCTCCTCCATGGGGGCCATGTCCTGGGGCGGTTGCACAGGGTTCCTCGAGGGCTGAGTCAGACCTGCAAAACAACGAGAGACAAAGTCAAAGACTGCAAACAGGCAGCTCTGAAAGCTGATCTGCAAGCCCTGCATTGCCAAGACACCCCAGGCCTGACTCTGGTTCCAGGCTCTTCCTTTCTTTCAAAGGCAGATTCTTTAGATCAGATGAATCTCATTCTCTAACTCTCCCGTCTATAGATTATTAAGGGCTTTGATTTCTCCATCTTCCTCTCCTTGACCCGTTCTCTTTACCATAGTGCTTCCAAAGAAACAAATGTGCCCCGCGGAGCAGTCAGCATGGCAGGCCCCCTCCCGGGAACCAGAGCCACATTCCCTCCCCATTTCAGGCAGGAGATGGGAGGGAAGATCCAGCTAACACACACAGCCCAGCAGCAGCCCTGACATCTGCAGAGGGCAGCTTCAGTGGGACCTTCCCCTAGACGTGATATTGCCAGGATTGAAGCAACCAGCTGAAAGGTTATCCACACCACTGCCTGCCAGCAAGGAGCTCTTCTCTGCCTTCCAGTTGGCCAGGGGGGCCAGACCCACCCCAGGCATGACTTCAGCGCTGCAAACAGGCCAGAGCACTGACCTATGTTAAATCGCACACTTGTCCAGCCACTAGACCAGAGCTGCCAAGTGTGTCTTGCCATCAGTGCTTTGGGTACCCACGGCTTCAGCTGCCAGCAGGACTTGAGCGCATGAGACAAGCACCCAGTGCGCTTGTCTAGTGTGTGCTGCTAAACCTCAACGGGTGGACGCAAACATCAAATGCACACACAGTTCCTGTCTCCTCTCCCTCCTCGCTAGGCATGAGAAGATGCAGGAGCATGCAGACTCCCCACATTGTTGCTTTGTCTCCAACATGCGCCGTCCCCAGGCAGCAAACCTGAGTTCTCCTCGTCCTCCGGCTGGTTGGGATTCAAGGCCATGACCTGCACCGTGATGGAGTTGCGGGAGATGGTGCACCCCAGCCCTGGAGGCCACACTTTATGGGTCTGCATATGCTTCTTCACGTTGGACTTCTGGGCAAAGGCTCGGCCACACACAATGCACTGGAACGGCTTCTCGCCTGTGTGACTGAAGGCAGGAGACACCGTGTCAGCAGCCAGCAGGAGGAAGCCCCCAGGCAGGCACCACAGCAGCAAGGCTGCTGCAGGACTGCACTGAACACTTGCTGCTTGGCAGAGCAGCTCCTGGACCTGCCAATCAACGGCTTTGAGACCTGATTAACCAGAGCAAGCAGATGGCGAGAAGCCTGGAGAGACAAGCCTGCCACACAGATGAAACACTCATTTGGGAGATGACAAGGGATCAAAGGAAGAAGTGGGAGAGGAGAAAGAGCTCTGCTGCAGCATAGGACATTCACTCTCAGGGTTTCCACACTGACCTCTGGGAATCCATTGCTCTTCCCAGGAGTACCATCCTCCTCTTCCCTGTCACCCCTCCCTTCCTTGCTCACACGCAGCTTCTTTTGCAGCAGAAATGTCTTTCTGCCCTGCTTTTCTGCTGCAGGAAAGAGAGCTGGCTCTGATACATGGTGCATACCATGTGAAGAGTCCAGGATGGGAAGGAGAGCAAAACCACCACTTGCTCCTTCTCACCTGCCTCAAGTTCTGCGGTATCTGCTGGGCAGACACTAAAAATTTCAACTGACTCCTGGCAAAGGCCTATAAGGTCTTATAAGAGTTCCCCAACTAGGCACTAAGCTTGACTTATGGTTTGGTAATACCAGCCCCCACGCAGACATCAAGGCTGCAGCTTGCAAGGGTGAGAAAGGAGAGCAAAGGGCAGAGGGAAGCAGTGGAGATGACGCTGCTCCAGCAGTCAGATGACAGGAAGTTAGACTTTCAAGGTCTCGTCAATGAGGAAAGAAGTGTCCGGTCCCAGCCCATAATCACCAAGAAGGTTAAACCTATGATGCAGCTTTCACCTCAGCCGCTAAGCTACTCCCTGAGGGAGATATATTGGAGGGAGGGGGTTGAGGGATCACCTCCCAGAGTGGTATGTATTTTAGGTGACGGGACAAACGCAAGGCATATGGGACTGTGCAGGCTCCCTCCGCAGGGCTATGCCTGACCCACCCTAGCCATTCGGCTGTGTCCACGCTGGTGGCACCATTACCTTCTGATGTGCTGCTGCAGGTCAAAGTTCTTGGTAAAGGCCTTGTCACAGTAAGTGCATTTCAGCTTGGGGGACTTGGGTTTCCCTGCAACCGGAAAAGCGTACACAGGAATGAGATCATGCGGCATAGCCCTGTCCCGCCTGCTCTGCACTAGCACCTCAACACACCTCTACTCAGGATAAAGAATAAAGCGCTCATGAAGGGGTAAGATCTGCCTGGCCAGAGCAGGGAGAGGTTTACGCTACATTTAATGTAGCCTGAGCTAAGTCTAGAAGCAGAAGCACTGAGAAGAGCAGAAGTTGAGGGAGCAGGACACCCCACCATGGGCAGTTATCACTCGGGGGATCTTTCCAGCTGTGCTACAAAGCAGCTACTTTAAAGGCATGGTGGGTGTTAGAAACAGGTACGGGATTAGGGAGAGGAGGGGCCCCAGTCTGTCTCTCCGTTATGAACGCACCAAGGTCAGCTGTTAGCCAGAGCACGTGCATACCTCTCCCATCTGGAAGATCTCTCAGTCGCATCTGCTGTCTACTCTTATGGGGTATAAGCCAATGGAAACAGCAAAACCGTGGGCTGCTCTAGCAAATTCTGGACTGAGAGCTGCAGTTGTGTGATCGTTTACACCTTCGTAAATAATGTTAAAGCCTAGTATAGGTACCGCTGTATCTCCACTGTTCCAGCCTTCCCAGTGAGGAAGGCCACATGACGTTCCTCCATCATAGGCTTGGCCTATGGTCACTTGGCTAGATGTGTGTTGGTCACAAGCAACAGGCAGGCTCTGCCAGAGGAGGGTCTGGTGCTCATCTGTCCTATAACTGGAGATGCTCCTGTCCTGCCTCACCTAGAGACAAGCGCGTTTTGTTCGCAGGCAGGATACATACTGAAACACATGGTAGGGACAGGTCTGTTGAGCGCTTGGAAGAGTGTTAAGGACCAGGCCACATCCAGCCCATAGGCCTTGCAGCTGGGCATTCTTGCTTAGCTTAACATGGACTAAGCCCTATCACCTTATTTGCAGGATCTCCTCTTTTTCAAATGTGATCCGACAATACATAGCTGCAGAGATTTAGCAGAAGTCTGCCCTACACCGCAGCACAAAGGCAGTCTTTTCACATGTCCAGAGGTGACAGACAAGAAGCATGTCCACGCCTCTGCCTGCTCTCAACAGCCTTGGCATGGTGTCATGCTCCTCCTCTGGAGCGGTGTGCACAGCCAGTGCCACCCAACAGTCTGGAGAGCCTACAGCTCGACTGTGCGCTACAGGACAAGCACAGAGGCCTCCAGGCCAGAGCAGGGCAACAGCCATAAGGCCACCTACCTTCATGCAGCCCACTCTCGGTTTTGGAGCGCCTACTCTTGGCAGCAGAGGCAGAATCAAAGCCAACCACATTGCCTCCTCCTGCACCGGTCAAAGGTGCGGCAGCGCTGGTACTCTTGGATTTGAATCCCTGCTTCCCAGGGCTATACACAGGAGGAGAGGGATACACAGGACTTTCCACACACTGGCTCGGTACCTGGAAGAGTGCAATGATCAGTGGAAAAACTGATTTGCTACACAATGTCATACTGTTCCAAGTACAGCACCTATTACTCTCCACCTCCAGCAACGTTTGCCACACCGGGCTATTAGTTCGGCTCAGTTTTCTGCCTTCTGCCAAACTGGATCAAACTTCTGGTTCACCTGATCCGACAACGTGTCTCTAACTAAAGTTAACACCAGGCCCTGCATGAAACGCTCTTGCTGAACACCACCAAGTATCCAGGAGTTATTACGTCAGAAAGAGGACAAGAGAAACTCTCTGAAGGAGCTCCCTAGTCCCCCATCTAGGTCCTACATGCAGAACAGGTTCTCATCCCTCCAGGGCAGGTTACCAGAACCATCATCACTGACCCTGGGGATTCAAACCGCCCCCGCAGGCAGGACTCTCCAGGCCCTGCTGCCAACCCCAGAAGCACTGCAGAAGGGAAGGAAGCACAAGAAAACTCCAGATGGCAGAGCACAGCCGTTTACGCTGGCACTACTATTAGGAAAGGACAGGGGGCAACGCTTGGAGAAAAAAATAGAGACATCGGTCTGGAGTGACGTGGTTTGAGGGCTTTTTTGTTACCCACTCTGATAAATTAACACAGAGCAGTAAGTATCCAAAGCCACCATCCATTTCTGAACGCCTGCACTTCCAGATCAGATGCCAAGCACAAAGAGAAGGCTGGCAAACCTCTATCACACCCAGCGGTTTCCAAGCTGGTCCCAATAACAAGACAGGTGCTGCTGCCATGCTGGGAGGCAGAAACCACAGGTACAGAGTGATAAGAAACCCCTTCCCTTCCCAATGTGAATGGTAATGTCAACATAGAGGCGATGAACAGCTGACGACAGGCAAAGCCACTAACGCTCATGTCTCTCAAAGAGAAGCTGAATTTTTCTCCCCACTTAAGCCTGCAATGTGCAGCACCGTGCTCGGCACCCCTCTGGGACAGCCCCCTCACCTCTCCTCACTCTCGCTTCCAACACTTGCAGGTATCCCTCGACCACAGCAGACCAAACTCACGTGTTCAGGCCTTCCAATCCCTCGTCAGCCAAGCCCTCCCGCCCTCTTAATTGCTTTTTTTGTTCTCAGAATCCCCTTCCTCTCGCTGGCATCTTTCTGATCAGTACCTTCTCCCAGAGGAAACAATCAACGTTTGTAAAATAACTTAACACATCTTCCCAGACTCTAATTCTGCATTTCTAGTCCGGATGAGTCCCAGACAGCACCATTCCCTGGCTTGTTAGAAGAGGCCCTGGAGGTCAGAGCCCCCACGCACTTGGCCTTACCTCTATGGGCGGATAGGGCTGCATCCCCAGCGTCTGAATCTCCACCGTGCTGTTTGCTGCCATCGGAGCAGGCGTGCTGTACACTTCGACCACGCCGTTGCCCCCGGTGCTGGGCTGCCCCGGAGCCCCAAGGCTCGGTGGGGGAGGTGGCGGGGGCTGAGGAGGGGGTGGTGGGGGTGGCGGTGGAGGTGGAGGGGGCTGGGAGAGATAGCCAGCTCCAGCGTGCATACTCAAGCTGCTCTGAAAACAGAACAAGGAGGGACAGATGCACAAGGCATTGAAAACACAGCAGCGGTCTAGCAAGGCCGAGGTGGAGGAGCTGCTCCCTCACACCCACATCCCCCATCAGGATTCTGAACGGCAGAGCAGCGACAATGTCGTCCCGCAACGCACCACTGTCCAACTGCCAGGTTGGAGCAGATTGTGCTGGCTTGCGGAAGGTTGGCTTGATCTGCCAGTAGACATTGTCTCCAAGTGTTCAAGCCCCACTGTTTTTTTGCTTTGTTTTTATAGGTTCTAACCTTTCTGGTTATTAAGAACTTTTTCAGAGCACGGAGAGTGTATCCAACCCAGCAGTGGCCTCATCAGCCCAGGGGAGAGCCCAAACCAACCATCCCAAGAGGAGATCCATGGGGCAAATTGATGAGGACTCCGCAAACTAACCGTTATATGAGAGAGAAAAAAAAAGCTGGAGAGATCATGTTACAAAGATTGGGGCATCCACCAGCAGAGACTCCAGGTGGGAGCAGACCTGTCATTATCCATCAGGCCTTCCTGAGCCTGGCTGTCATGCTGGGAAGGTGCCCAGGACTCAGCATCGAAGCAGATTGCTCAAGTCTGATTCCACGCAGTGGGACTCTCCAGGGCACAGGCACGCCCCTTACCTGCGTCGGGGGCTGCACCGCCGGCATTGGCTGGTCCAAGGATGTAAAAGCAGACATGGCCGACATCAGCACCTCATCGCTAACTAAGATGTTCCCCTGCACGAGGGTCTGAATCAAAGGAGACGGAGGAACTGTGATGTATGTAGAAATTTGCTGAAAGAAAACAAGTTGTTGCGTTGTTGATCAGCAACAGGACAAAATAATAAACTCAGAAAAACAACGACACTGTGGTTTTTACTGAACCTCTGAGTCTGTTTTCACAGCCACCAGTCAACAGACGAGCTAAGGCAATTATCTCCTGCTTCCTACTGAGTCCACTGTAGTTTCTAGATGTAACAATAAGCAAGCTCTGGAAATATTCTTCACAGAAGGAGGTATAAAGGTTTCTGATGGTTCAGGGAAGCGGCCACTGGCTCAAATGACTGGTGATTAAACAAGACTTGCAGAACAAACTGCTTTGCAGACAATTTCAGGCCTTTACCGGATGCTTTCCCCACGCAGAAAGGTGGGCAACTGAGGGAGGCTGCTCTGGCTACAGATGGTGAACATCCGGCTCATCTCTTCAGATTGGAGAGGCGAAGGGGAGGGGAAGTTGGGCTGTCCCCATTTTGTTGGCAGAAACTACCAGTGTTTGCAGACCCAGGCAGCACTGACCACCAGCGCTAAGTTAACTTCAAAAAAAAAAAGTTGGCTTGAAGCACTTCAGAAGCTGCCATGATTGCAGGCACAGAATACGTCATGCACATGGGAACTGCTGCACAGACTTGCTCCTGAGAAGTCTGTTGGGGAGGAGAGTTCCCAGAGAACGTGTCCCTCACACACATCACATTGCACCGCATGGGGTTATCTGCAGGAGACTGGGAGGAGGGATGCAGGGGTGAGGGTGCCACAACCACTGCCCTCCTCTTCTGCCCGCAAGTCAGACTACAGTCCAGGGGAGAGCGAGACCACCCCAAGCAACGCGGAGCACGTGCAGGCCTGCCACCGGTGCTCGTTGGTGGAACCACAGTCTGGCTGTAACACAGACGTGATAAGAAACTTCTCCTGGCCTGAAAATCAGAGCTAGACACTCATGCTGAAGGACACCTCACACCAGGCAGATTTAACATGAAGTCAAAATCCAACATGACCACAGCTGAGCCTCCCAGAAGAGAGCTCAGTCATGAGGTATCACTGGATCTAAAAGCATCATGCAGAGGTTCTCCCACTCCCAAAACAACAGCAACAGAGCCGCAGAGCCTGCTGGCTCACAGCACGGTACCTGCCGGCTGGCGCTCGGAGCCTGCTGCACCGATGTGATGGATGGGGTGTACACGCTGTTGGTGGCCAGCGAGACGGTGGAGAGGGAAGGGGTGTTTCCCTGGCACTGCTCTCTCTTGTGGGTCATGAATGCAGGTAATGAGTTGAACTGCTTCTTACACTTCCCACACAGGAACACATCTTCGTCATCTGCAATTAGAGAACCAGATCACCATTCCAGCCTCCAGCTCCCTTTCTTCTGCATTCCCCAGTGCTACATCTAACTTTGTTACATACAACAGCCACAGCCAGAAAAGACAGGAGAAGAGACACCTCCTGGACCTCTAGGACATCATCATCAGGAGAGAATCAGCTGCAAGGGTAAAACTGTCCCTCCTCCCCGATCCCCAGCTCTCCCTAAAGCCAACTGATGGGAACACGCCTGTCTCAGTCCTGCCCCCACATACAAACCCCACAGTCTCCCAGTGACAAGCTGAATCCCGCTGCCTGTCCTCTCGTCCTGAAGACATGAATATCCAACCCAGCCCTGCTCCTGCACCACCTTCTGCTTTCAGTCACGTTGCTTCTTCCAAAGCATCGTGATTATTCTGGCTGATGCAGATTTCATTACTTAAGTCAAACAGAGGAAGAGGAGTCATTTGCATCAGGGCACAGAGTCAGGAGCAAAATCAGGCCACAGCTTGCACCTCAAACCTCCCCTCCAGGAACACTGATGGTTTTTGGTGCCTCTGCTTGACACCAGAGGCAGAGAGAAGACAATTCGGCTACCATGCTCTAGATAAAATTTGCAGCATTCCAAATAGGCACAGGCTGCTTTTCATTCAAGACAGTTGAACTGAAACTTATTGGGAAAAAATACCTTGTGGCTTACAAGGCTGTGGCTCCTGTCTGATTCCTGGCACAGCCTGAGGCAGGACTGTGCTGGGGACGCAGACTGCAACTCCGCCAGGAGCACTGCTCAGAACGTGCTCACCACCAGAGGCTTTTTCAATAATAGGGTGAAGTAGGAACTCACTGTCTGAATCAGTCTCATAGACGGGCTGGCCTCTTCCACACAACGGGAAAAAGGGCAGGAAGAGAAAACACACTTTCGCAAGGAAGCGCTCAAAGTATCAACCCACTGAACAGGCTCTTGGGTCTTCTGCCAGCAAAACTGTCAGCTCTTGACTTGCAACACTTGCAGTTGCAATCTGTGATAGGTGATTATGATTACCCTAGAGGGTAATTCTGCACCTACCCAGCAAGTCGTGGTCCAGCACTGGCTGAACTACACTTACCAGCTCTGGGGGACTCAGCGCCAAAGACAAGCACTAGCTGTAAAATCTTGAACGCCTAAACATGAGTTTCCATGGGCACATAAACCACCAGTTCCCGTACTCATTCACACAGATTCACTCAGTGACTGCGCATCCGCAGAGCATAAGGAACTGCTTATTACATTACAAATACAAACAGTAGCAAGCACTAGTGGCAGGGAGGACACTGCTCCCCTCTTCCATGCCTTTATCACAATGCCCAGTCCAGCCTATTGCCAAGACCAGCTCCCAGAGCATCTCTCTGCTCACCGGGGCACTTGCACAGCCCCATTCCTCCTGCTCTACCTAGCCCAGCTGATGGCTCACAACACCCGTAGCTGTGTCCTGCACGTACAGTCTGCATCGCTGCTCTACCTGACCGTCACGGAGAGCGCGCTGTAAGAGACTGCCAGCCCACTGCCCCCTCTTCTTTCTCTCCCAGTGCTAGAGACTCACCCATCGACTGGATGGTGGCGGATGAGTTGACATTTTGAGCAGATGGATCCGTTACACCTCCTTGACCATCCAGCAAGGACTGCACAGCCAGCACCGTCTGATTATCCATGCCTGCAAGGGAGACACAAGCAGGGAGGGTAAAGCGAGCACGTGCCGAACGCAGAGGGGCCTCGCTCAGAGAGCGAGTCGCGCAGGGAAGCCGCTGGCCGGCTGCCCCTGCCTGCTCCGCTTCTCCCGCGGAGCCGCTGCCGCCCTCACACCCCCTCCGCTCGGCAGCATCCACCGCCGTACTACGGAAACACACCTGCCCGTTTCTGTTTCGCTCTTGACACAAGGGGAGGAAAGGCAAGAGGAGAAAGGGAATCCGGCAGTTTAAAGAGCACTTGGCTTCAGGCGCTTGCTGCAGAGAGGACGGACGTTTGCAAACGGCAGGTACAAAAAGATCTAAGAAGTGGCTATTTAGGATGTCACGGCCCAGGCAGGGTAACAGCCTGGACGGACCTCGCTGGGGAGGCAGCGCGAGACGGCACAAGCACCTGAGCTCGCTAAGGACAAAATCCCTCGTGGGCAGCTGTTTCGTGTCAGCCCGCAACTGAGCTTTCCCACGAGGCAGGAGCATTCGAAAGGCTGTTTCCAAGAGCAGGGCTCCCGGATCTGACCATCCCCACAGGGTTACGAACGACGGCAGCACTGAGTTGCAGCTTTTAGAAGGGACTTGCAAGCGTGCGCTCCCGGAAAGGATGCTCAGGGGACCCCCTCGGCCACCGGCCGCCCCCCTGGGACCTGCAGGAGAGCTGGACGGCGGCTCCATCCCCTCCTGGCCACGCTCCCCGCTGCGCCGCTCACGCAAGAGCTGTCGGTCGCCCTCTCTCATTTCCGTCTCCCTCAGGACTACGTGAAACACACGCACCCAGCCAGATTTGTTGTCAGAATCAGCTCGCTTGCTTTGGCACAAATATTGTTCACTACAGCTAAAATGTTCTAAAATATTCCAGATAAATACAGGAGACGGGGACTGCTCATGTAGGGAGCCAACCCGGCCAGCAGCGCGCAGCCCACGGATCAGGCCCAAAGCAATTTTTTTTTCTTTTTTTGGAAACCAGAGGTAAAGAAACGCAGAGCAACCCGATTACGAACAAATGGCTAACAGGTGTGATTCATGTGCACCACTCCTCTCTACCAATTCCTTTACCATAAGAAACCCGTGAATAAAACAAACGGCCTGCCAGGGTTATATGTTATCCTGCGGGGATTAAGGGAGAACAGAAACGGTGTGGGAGCTCTTCGGTTGCTTTTTACTTTCCTTCCAGAGCTTTGCAAAAAACTGTAAATCTCTTACTAACGCCAAACTCAGAATGATGTGCCACAATACAAAGAATACACGTAAGTCTAACAGTGCAGGTGAGCACAGCTCCTGATGAGAAACCAGCTAGCAAACAGCATCAGCAGGGACAGCAAAACGATGCGAAAAGATCACAGCAGAGAGGAAGGGGAGAGCAGACGCAGCAGTCCCGTCTTCCCGCCGCGGCGTCCTCTGTATTTAGGGTACGAAAGAGAGCAAGAAAAATGCCACAGCTTATAGAAACCTCAACGTCCGCAAGGTTCAAATTTTTACATTTCTCCTGGACGCAGGGAAGTGCCTTCCTCTTACTCGTGCCACGAGCTGCCATCGCTCCCGTAGCACAGGCCAAGGGGCAGACACCGCAGGAGCGCTCCTGTGCGGATCTGCTCATCCCTACTGAAGCCCTGCTTTAAAACACACCTCCTCGTTCACAAATATTCCCCCGGTCAACTGCAACCGCGATACTGCAGGCTCTTGTCAGCGCACCCGAACCAGAGTGAAACGGAGGAGCCTTTCTCAGCGCTCACGTGGAAGTGAGCGAGCTCCACAGCCGGCAGAAAACCGGGAACCACCGATTCAGGTTTAATAATTTGTGGTCACGAGTAAAAGCAGCGGGAATGAAAGCGCTAAAGCCTTGCCGCTGTTCGCACCGAGGTCGCCACGACCGGCACTAGAGGGCGCCGGGCGGTCTCCGTCCCGGGCGAGCAGCCAGAGCTTCAGAGCGGAGAAGCCCCGTCGCAGCCTGGGCCCGCCAGCTGGAGGAGGCCTGAGGAGCAGCCAAGCCCAGAAGGCGACAGGTAACGCAGCAACGTTAACGCTGCACCGAGCGCTCCGCGCCAGCACGGGGGCCCCCACAACAGAAGTATATCGCTGTCTTCACCTGACGTTTTGCACTAGCAGCTACCAAATTTGCACATTGAGACGCCGCAGTTTCACGAGTTACACAGTTAATACGGAGGGAAACCGGTAAGCTCAGGGTTTAGTAATTAAACTAAATTAACACGAGTACAAGCACAGTTACTTGCCAACACGAGCAGCCGGTGTCTAGCGGCAGAGGCCTTCGAAGACACGTCAGTGCCCCCCAGCGCTCACGGGGGGACGCGAGCGCGTCCTCACCTACC